TGTTTTCTCCCCCTCCCTTCAGCTTTCACAAGTAACCTCTTCTACTACATTTCCTGGGATTTCTGAATTGATCACTGATTGGCTCACTTGTGGCAACCCTTCTGTGCAGCATCCTGTGACATAAGTTTTCATTTAGGCCTGGAGGGGCCTGTGGAGGAATGAAGAGGTGCCAAGGGGTGTCAGTCAAACTCCTTCACCTGCCTCCAAAGCAGCTGGCTGCTGATGGGTCTAGGAGCAGGCCTTCTGCCAAAGAACAGCTATTCATTGTCCTTTGTTGCCAAAGACAAAGCAGCCAGTGGTAGAACACTGATGTAGAAAACAAATGCCAGAATTCTAATAAGTGAAAAATTGCCTGGTTTATGCCACCGCCTCTAGAGTTGTGTATTTATTTTCTCACAGTTTGGGCTTAATGGTGTTTTTACAGATATGATGGAATGGAAGCAGGCTGTATATAAATATATTGAAAACAGCCCATGTGATGAAAAGCAGCCTAAAATGCTCTTATGCATGGGACAGGTAAATATAACGAAAATGGCTCTCCTACAAAAACAAAGACTACTAATTTTCAGGCAGATTCTACATTGATAATGCCGTCCATTTCTGATTTCAGCTTGTTTCAACCTCAGGACTGATTTAAATGGTATACAGAGAAGGACAAAAATGGAGTTTGTGGCAAGAGTTTATCTAATTTGGGTTGTCTTATTTTAAGAACTGGAAATGATAGGTAAGTTTTTGGTTGACTGTCATAAAAATTAGATATTACGTGGTCTCTCCTCAATTGATAATTGTGATATCATGACTTAGAGGAAGTATATGTTTTGATCATTTGTATGTCCAATATATATATTTCTCATACATAGTTGGCCTTCGCCTATAGTTCCTGGCTCACAGCTCCTAAAACCCTTAGAATTTCCTAAGTGCTGGGAATGATAAAGGTGTCTCTTGTCATAAATGGGTTAACTTTTGGGGAAGGACCTAAAAAGATGGGTGCGTGTTGTCAGGGAAATCAATTACATGATTAGAGGGTTGAAACTTTCAGTCTCACCCACTAACTTCCAGGAGGGGAGTGGTGCTGGAGATTTAGGTTTAATTGCCCATGGCTAGTGATCTAGTCACTTATGGTTGTGTAAATACTCAAGAGGACGGGCTTTGGTTCCAGGTTGGTGGACACATGGGGATTGGAAGAATGGTACCTCTGGAAAGGACATGATAGTTTTGCACTTTTCTCCATACCTTACCCAGTACAACTCTATCTGGTTGTTCTTAAGTTATATCTTTGTAGTAAGCTGATCTAGTGAGTAAATGAGTTTTCTGAGTTTTGTAAACTACTTTAACAAATTGATCAAACCTGAGGAAAGGGTCCCAGGATCATTTTGTTCTGGGAACCTACCATCTGTAGCAGACTGGTCAGCAGCTCAGGAACAGCTTGGGCTTATGACTGGCAATAGAGGGCAGTCTTGAGATAGCCCTTAACTAATGGAACCTGATGTTATCTCTGGATACATAATGACAGAATTGAATTGAACTCTCAGACATCCTCCTGGGGTCTGAGAATTGGTTTTTGGTGTGGGTAAGTCTATGCCTGCGCGTGCGTGTGTGCGCGCGCACACACACACACACACACACACACACACACACACACACCCACACACCCCTCTCCTTGGAATTGGGCCCAGGAAGTCAACACAATAGCCTTTATGGATTTTTGACAACAAGGATGAAACTCAAGTAGCAATGATTACAATGTCGGAGAAACACCAAACTGCCCGAGAAGATAGCAGCAACCTGAACTTTACACCTGTAGGCTGGCTGATCTGTGGTTCATGAATATAGATTTCACTTCCTCTCTGCTGGTCGATTAGACATGCACTCCACAACATCCCATTTCTTCCTCTGGCCCAAAGCAGGATGGAGTAGTGGATGCAGAGATGAGTCATCATCCCAAGAGTATCATGGCACATCTGTGCCATGCTCCTACCTCCTGACTCTTACATTCACTAAAGAACTCATTTGAGACTGGAAATTCCATCTGATTTAATTTCTCCCTCGAAGAAAATGCACTCTCAATAATGTCATAAATCTCCTGAAACCAGTTTCCTTTAAGGTTGCATTAGAGATTTTAAATATGTGTATAAGATTTTAAATATGTGTACCTTATCCCACCTTAATCTCAGTTTTCTGTCTGAGATGCAGTGATGGTGGGCTACTCCTGTGGTCAAGTACCATGAAGGGCTTTTTCAGTAATGTAGCTGAGTCTCAGTGATCCACTCCCCTAAGGCCCTTGGATCAAGAGCACATTTGAAGGATAGGTGGCCAGGAGATGGACTTAGTCTGCTATTTGCATAAAGTAATGTAAGAGTGACATTGGGTTTATTAACACCACTGAACTAGCCACTTTCTCAACAGTAGTATATGTTTGAATCTCAATATTGGAGTGAATGCTATTGCTATTATCCAGAAAAAACAAAGGTCTATGTGCCCAGGGCTTCTGCCAGCATATCTGGGCTCTTTGCATATGAATTACACACAGACATCCTCTCTGGAGATCAATTACTGTCCTCACATCCTCAGCTCCTGGCTCAATCACAGGGCACAACCTGTGCAGCTGTAGGGCCACTTCCAAGTTAGCTAATCTTGAGAAAGTGGTAAACTTGATGTGGCATATGAATGTTTATCCATCCATATATGTTTCTGCACTAAAATTATGGAAGTTAGAGTCATTTGTTAATAATCACCCCATTACTGAGCAACCCATTATATTCAGAGTAAAAAACTAAATCAATGTAGCTGTAGAGGCCATTGGTGCCTGCTGTCATTAGTCTATTTCATTAGTGTTAGAACAGATTTATTTTGGTTTAGAGAAATACTTTTCCAGAGAAAAACTTGATATTAATTTCTGGTGAGAAGTGGTTTATAAAACATCTTTCCCTCTTTCATCCCTCCAAGGATAGAAACAGACTCTTGGGGTCCTTTGTGTGTGATGATGCTGACAAGTCATCAGAGCCACTGACGCCTGTTGCCCACCCCACCCCCTTCTTCAGGCCACCCAGCCAGGTCAGCCAAGTACTGCCTCGGTGCAGTTCCGCACTGTCTCTTGGCAGGCTGTCTGCCTTCCTGTCCAGAGCTCTGGCACTATTGATGGCATTGGTCTAGAATCAGTTTCCTTATAGGTTTGGGTCACTGCCATCTTCAAAAATCAAATAAACTACGGATTTCATCACAGAAAAATGAGCACACTCCTAACTCTTTTTTTCCATGCAATTTTAGGGAGTTCAGGAATCCATGCCAAGATTTTTTTTTTTGGCCAGGAATTTTTCTAGTGTCAGATGAGGCTATGATCCCCTCTCAGAATGATGATTTTAGGTACATAACATTAAAACACAAAGGATTGTAAGAGAGATGAATTATATTGAAATGCTTAATAAAAGTTTAAAACTTTTGTGATGTAGAACTATCTAAATGTTTTATATAAATGCATTTAATAACAAGATCTAATGGTAAGTCTAATAAGCACTGTAGTTTTGAAGTATTGATGATCACAAAAGATATTTTATGATGTCTGCCACACAGCCGGGAAATGAAAATGTCTGCAATCCCACTGCTGACAGGTATTGCTAGTTCTACTGTGTCTGCCACCTACATTCATCATTTCAGGTAGTGATAAATTGCAGGTAGAGATTAGTGACAATAAAGGTGCACTTTTCCCCCACCCAAGATTCTGGACCTTAGGTTAAAGACCTCTGAGACTCTAGAGATTCTCTGTGGGGCTCTGGGCCTGGCTCTGGGCCTGACTGTCTTGGTCCTTTTTGTTCACACCCAGGAGGGGACTTTGGGGCTCCTGTTTAGAGATTGAAATAGGGTCTCCCTGGTGGGGGTCTTTCGCCCAGGGCCTTTGCTTCAGAATCTAACCTATTAAGCATCACACTATGAAGCTGTCCGCAGCCTCTGCAACATGAGTTCAATCTCCAGCCGGCCAGAGAGAAACCCACATCGCGCAGCAGACCTCTCCTGTCTCGCCTGCTGCTCCCCTCAGCAGTGTATTTCAGTCAGTCTGCCTGTTCTGTTCCCCACTCTGTCTCTGGTGAATTCTCTTAACCCCCTGCATCTCTGGCCTGTACCCCAACTCTTGTATGCATAAATAAATAATTTTTTTTTAAAAAAAAGAGACTGAAATGACCTTAGCTATTGGGATTTCCCATATTCTGTAGGAAAAGCCAAAAGGGACACTCAGAGTCACTTCGGTCCTGTTCTTACTTAGGAGGGTTAGGAAGGTGGGGACCAGTGGGATGCAGGGAGTCATCTTTGAGCAAGTAAGGGACTTCTGCCCCCAGGGAATGTGAAGGCACAAGGGACTGTCTTAGTGAAGCTGCCCCAGCTGGGAGATGGGTCTCTGTGTTTTCTAGCTTGTGATGAAAAAAATGTTTTCCTCTTGTTTTAACAAAGATATGAGGCTTACTTTTGAGTTTGCTTTATGTATTGACTTCACCTTTCCAGGGATGTTGAGCTAAGGGGAGGATCCCTGCCGGGCAGCCTGTGCCTTGAGAAGGCACAGTGGCTCATTTTTGCTTCTCTTCCTCTTCCTGGCTCACCAGATGGCACTGAAAAATATACACCTATGCTCAAAAGACCAAGAATCAGCTTTGGGAAGTGAAAGAATGTTTCATGGCACTTGAAAATAAGAATTGTCACCATAGTTGTACAGTTGTAAAGTTGCACTGTTGTAGGAAAACACCAGGGAAAAGCAGAACTTTCTTATAGGGATGCTAGAGCTCAGGCCTGCATGAGGACAAAAAGTTCAAGTTCTTGATAAAGGAAAGTGCTTTTGCTGATAGTCACCTGGGGGGAGAGATAAGGGGCTTCCCAGGAAAGGCTCTTTCCAAACAGCTTCCTTGGCAGTGCCCTCCTGAAACCAGGCCCTGGGACTCTTTGGAGGTACATCATGACCTGATTTCCACCAGGAAATGTCTGTGAAAGAGGCGCAAAGAATAGCATCTGCTTACCAATTTTGTTCCTTGCTTGGTTGATACTTTCTCCCAGAGCCTTTGCTTCAGAAAATCTGGAGGGGGAAAAACAATTAGAGTTTAATATTCTTTGCTCATCCTAAATTGCGTTTTTTGTTTTTTTGTTTTTTTTATAAAGTTGGAGGGTCCCTTTTTTTAAATTTTATTTATTTTTATGGAGAAGAACCACAATGTAGGCCAGAGGTGCAGGGGGTAGAGAATTCACCAGAGACAGAGTGGGGAGCAGAACAGGCAGACTGAGTGAAACACACTGCTGAGGGGAGCAGCGCGCAAGACAGGAGAGGTCTGCTGTGCCATGTGTGTTATCTCTCTGGTCGGGAATTGAACTAAGGTCGTAGCAGTGATTGCTCTGAGACATAACCCCTAGGCCACCCGGGAGGCCCCCTAAATTGCATTTTAAAAAATAACAGACTTCTGAGAGAGCTTTAAAAGATTATATAAGTTGGGCCTCTCTGGTGGTGCAGGCAGTTGAGTGCAGCGCTGTGAAGCTGTCCACAGCCTCTGCGGTGCCGGTTCGATCCCTGCCGGCCTCGGAGCAACCCGCATGGCGAGAAGACCTCTCCTGTCTTGCCTGCTGCTCCCCTCAGCAGTGTATTTCATCAGTCTGCCTGTTCTGCTCCCCACTCTGTCTCTGGTGGGTCTCCTCACCCTTCCGCTCATCTGGCCTGTAGCCTGGTTCTTATATAAATAAAATTAAATCTTAAAAAAAAAGATTATATAACTTATTGAAAGATATAAAAGAAAATCTAAACAAACGACATATATTCGGCTCAAAAATAAGATAAAATTTATATTAATTACTGGTATCATAATTTTCTACTCCCCTATCTAGCACAGACTTTTCACCCTCATATTCTGACTTATGATATTCAGTTCCACATGTTTCATGATGCAGGGCACCAGAGTAAAGTGTGACCAGAAGCCTCTTGTACTGTGCTCTACTAGCGTTCACACCAAGATCTTATAGTCCAAGAATATATACTTAATTGACATTCTGCTTTTTACATTAAATTCTGATTATAAAGTAAAATATGAGAGGCAGCAAACTGTGGTTGGTCATGAGATACATCCAGTTCATCACTTGTTTCTGTAAAATGAATTGTATTGAAATGCAACCACATCCTTCCTTTGTTTGTGAATCGTCTCTGGCCACTGTCATCCTACATGGGCAGATGTGACAGATGTGACAGAGGCTGTCCAGCCTGCAAAGCTGAACATATTTACTATCTGGCCCTTTACAGAAAATGTTTGTTGGCTCCTGCTATACATATCACAAATGCTTAATAATTTCCCATGTAGAAAAAATATACCCACCCAGTCTCTTTTTTTTTCTAGCCAGTTTTTTATAGAATTGAGAGCATACTGTATATATGATTTTAGACTTTGATTTTTTTTATTTAGAGTTGCAATATAAGTCTTTCCCTACATTATTAGAAACTTCCATTGTCTTTGATCACTGCATTCTAGCCCACCAGAAGGTTGCCTGATGTTTACTTAACAATTCTTCTATTTTCCAACAAATATTTATGAGACAACCATTGGGAGCGTGAGGTTGTGCTGAAGAAGCAATGAAGAGTCTAACTTGCATGGCAAACACAGTCCAGGACCTTTCACAAAGTGGGCCCTGAGGACATGTCAGGTGCATTTCCTTCTTTTTGCTATGGAATTTAAGAGGTAATTGGAACTTCATACAGCAAATTCATGATATACGGCTACAGTAACTTGTTGAATTACAGGGTAGCCTCGACCCTGCGATCAGAGTTTGACTATGGGTGGGAAGCAGTCAAGAACACTTGCTGCCCAAGGTAGAATTGACTTGGATTTTGTGGCTACACAGAAGTTTTTAGAAAAATTTTTATTATAGAAATTCCCAAATATATACAAATTAAGATTTAAAAAATGACCCCCTCCTTGACATATTTCAGTAATTATCAACACTTGGTCAATTTGATTTTAACTATTCCTCCTTATCTTTTTCTCTCCTGCACCCCAAATTTTTCTGGATCTTAGTAAATCCCAGAAATCAAATTGTTTCACCCATAAATGCTTTCATTGTGTAGGGTTTTATTAGAGGAAGTGGGGAGAGAAGGGTTTTCCAGGCAGGGGGACAACACAAGCAGGCCAGAGTGCCACGGCAGCTCTGCGTTTGACAGAAGAGAAGTGTGAATTATGTCATGGCTATTTTCGAATCTGTCTGCTTGGCTTGTGACTACAGACAGGAAGTTTCCAGGGAAGGGGACTGCATTTTCTCTCAATGCTAGGTTTCTCAGGACTCCATCCCTGGCTCCCTTTTAAGGGGGTTCAGGCTCATCTCAGATAATGTATGTTCTCTTTTTAGTTAGGGCCTGTCACTCCTGGAGAGTAGTTCTATTTGATGCAATTCACATTGAATTCAGCTCAGCAAGACTCATGTGTTATGTGGGTCACTGTGCTGGCCTCATGCTGGCCATTGCTGGGCAGGTAGAACCTGATGTTTGGCCCAGAAGCTCAGAAGCTGAGGACTATCTTCATATAGTACATTCTGCCAAGGAGGGTGAACCAAAGTGTTTGATCACTGCTGTGTCCATTCCTGGTGCTAAGCATTTGATAGTCCTTCATTGCTCAGTGAGTGACTCCTCTTATTTCTAGAGATCTGGAAGCTTTATTTAGATACTCCAGAATAAGGCAAATACAAGGGTAAGGCTACACAGCTGTTGACATTCATGTCACAAGTGGAGTAGAGACAGACAGGGAAGATATGGCAGGCAGCACAGGCAGTCTCTACAGAATTACAATTTGGAGAATCTCTGACTGGCCTGGATGGAGTGTCTGGCCTTGGCCGAGCCCACGTGTGTCTGGGAGGATATGGTGGAGGCAACTGCTCAGTGCTGTGGGCAACCTTCCCAAAGAGCTGCCCTGAGCTGTCACTGCCAGACCCTGCAGAGAGTGCCATGGGCTGTTCCAGTCTCCTCTGCACCCCAGTACAGAGCTAAAAAGGGCTTCCCACTGCAGAGGTGTGGGCTGAGGGCTGTCCCATCCTCATGAGACCATTTCCCCTTCACTCTGCAGCTGTCACCACTCAGGCCACCCCACCCACATGTGTTCCTGATGCCTGGTTGTCAAGACAAACTCATGACTAAGGAAACCCAGCCTGAGGCTGGGAGAAGTGTAAAGGGAGGTCAGACAGATGAGAAGGAAAAGGAGGATGCTAACAGAGATGAAAAAGAGGTGACACTCTCCCCAAACACCCCACACTACCATGTTCTTCCTTGCCTACCTTGCACCTCCATACCTTCACAGACCAAGGCCCCTCATCCTCACTCTCTCCAATCTTCCTACCCCTGACTGAGACTTGCTCATCTGGATGTGTCAGGAGGGACCACTTGACTCTTGACCTTCTAAATGAGCCACATTCCCATGACGGCAATGACGGCGGCGGCCATGGAGCCATCTTGGGTCCCCGGCAGTGAGCCTACACTGTACATGGCCTAAATGAGGCAAACCTACACCTCGAGGAGGGGCAGGAAGAAGCCTCTGGGACTGGACCAGGACCACTAGTGACCCCTGGTCCAAGGTATTCCTGTCAGGGAGTCACTGGCTGCAGAGCTCCTTTTGGGGAGTGCTGCACTGCTGGGTGCAGTGCAGTGTGGGAGCTGGCACCCACATAGGACAGGCTCTACCTTGGGACAAGGCCTGGATTTGGAGGGAGAGTGCGTTGTTCTGTTCTTTCACAAGCCTGGCGACCCAGCCTTTGCAATAGAGCCACACTCAGCATGGGCCAGGTCCTATGCTGCAAACTGTCCTCAGGCAGAAAAGTCTTTTTCATTGGCCTCCCATCGCATCACCCATGTCCCCTGTTATGTTCCCCTCTCTCCCTGCTGCTCTCACTCAGTCTCCTTTGAAGGCCCTTCTTCTGCAGTCTGTTCCTGAGACGTTGGTAATCCTCAGGGTTTTGTCCCAAGCCCTCTCCTCACCTTACCTATTCTCTCTAGGCATCCTGTTCATGCTGGTGCCTTCATATGCCACTTCTATGGGCACCTCCCAAACCCCCACCTCAGCCCCATCTCATTTCCTAACCCACTCTCCAGCTACCCACTTGCAGCCCTGCCAGTAACTAAAATCCACTGTATCCAAAGCCCTAACCGATGACCAACTCCTGCCCCTTCCTCCCATCATTCTGCAAGTCTGCAGTAGGTGTCACCCACGTGCTCTGCTGTCATCACAGCACCCTGAACTGCTATCATCACAGGCAGACAGCACAGTGCAGGAAACTACCTGTTTACTTGTTTGTTCCTTTTCAGTATCATAAGCACAGTGAGGGCAGTGACCACACCTGTTTCACTCACTCATATCCCTGGAGCTTAGAGCTCATATCTTATTAATATTTCATAAATAATGCCTGTAGAATGAGAGAAGAAGCAAGTGAGTGACACAGCAGCCTGTGCAATGTGGAGAGCACTGAACTAGGAGTCCCAAGACCTGAAACCTAATACTTACTCCACTTTTGCACTGCTGGATCTCAGATTCCACATTTCTAAGAATAGCATGGGATGTCTCGCAGGGCTGGGTTGATGCACAAAGTAGAACCATACAAATGTGCCTTGTGCCTATAAATCATGACCACTGCCTGGCAGTGTAGGAACTCCATGGGGTGTGATGAATGTGAGCTGGAACTGCATGTTGGAAGCAGTAACCACAGATAATAATGATAAGTATCATCCTCCCAGCAAACCAAAGAATCAGAATGGATCCCTGCAAATCAACGGTCAAGTTCACCTAAAATAGTAACTCAACTCATTTGCAATGGGAATGAAAAGAATGGGGAAATTGAGGTAGATTTTTCAAGTACCTTACAGGAGCAGATACAAGAACAGAAGAAGAGAATCCCACCCTCCCAGTGGTATGTGTCAGGCATAGCTGTAAGTCATCACTGAGGGAGCAGTTGAGGAAGCCCAATGCCTGGCTCTGCCCCAGCGCCATTGGAATCACAGACAGTTTGTGGGGGACCATGGGCAGTGGCTGCTTTACCCTACGGGCTGAGGAAAGGAGGTGGTGC